GTCCATCTTTTAAAGTATATCTTGGCGGTAGCCATCCGCCCACATCCGCTGCACCCATTTCTTTACTTCTAAGTGCAATGGGTATATGGACATTATATTGATGTCATTGCATGACACTATATTCTGCAGCACCTAAGATCAGCCTACCCTCGGTGGAAGAAGAGAACATCACGTGACCAGACCAAAGACACCTGGAAGAAGAAAACCAAAAAATGCCCCCCTCCTGGAAGGTTGCTTCAATGAAGGGGGTGGTGGTTCCCTATCTTGGAGTTTCCCTTTTACAAGTCCAGTTATAAAAAGCTATTTAAACTGGGAGTAGAGGGTGAAGTTGTCTATAGCAACTATAGCACATTGGAAAGTCCTAGTTCCTGCAGACACCCTTTGGGCCATATACTTAAAATGGAGAGCAGTATATACACCGTGCTGGAGAGCAGTATATACACCGTGCTGGAGAGCAGTATATACACTGTGCTGGAGTTGGAACAAATACTCTACACTAAGTCTGCATTTTACATTTTATTGATGCAGTGTCCTGCATAAAGCCGCAGAGAGCCCCCCTGGATAGGGGGAGACCCCTGGCACTTATCAAAAGTCATGTGACGCGTTCCATTTTCCCTGCAATGAATGGGGCTTTGCTTTTTACAGGGTAAAGCACACAGCTATGATTTATTTATGGTTACCCCGAAATGTCTGCCGCTTTATTGCGCAAACAGTGCCAGGTCTCTCCTTGGTCGTTTCGCGACCTCCTTTCTGCTCTTGTCAGCTTCCCTTTGGCAGCAAAGTGGTGGCTCTTAATGATCAATAGGGAGACTCCCACTGTAGTTTAGATTGCATCCCACAGGCTTGCTTTAGAAGAAACGTGCCTTCGGAAGATCGGGGAAGCTTCCATTGTTCCGTTAGTCTGCTGAAAATGCTAGTTGCCTGGTTTTTGTTGCAACTTGCTGGATTTAATAGTTTGCCACTGATCCGGAGTGGAAGTATGAAGATCTGGAATCTGGCTCTTGGGCTTCTTGATTTGCGTACTTATTCTAGGTAATGTGGTGGTCAACTTTAATTGATACTTGGGGCATCAAGTGCGGCCCTTGTCATCACCAAAGGGCCGCACATAATATTTACTGCATGTAATGCTACAGAAAGCTGTCCGAGACCAAAGACGTACAAGATGAGATGGTCAGAAACGGCAAAGCATTGATGGAGATTGGGATCATGCTTCATGTGACAGTCATAGCCTGGAGATGCATGACATAAGACTGCCCCACTACTCCTATACATGTCAACGCTTCCAGACTTCTGCTCCCTGCAGCCCTCAAATTATGTACATTTGATGTTTCTCTTGGTAAGATCCATTATAGAAGATCAGAGGGGGAAAAAGAGAGCTTCTAGAAACCAGGTTGAAGAACATTCTCCTTTACTAGCTTGAGTAAGCACCAAAATAGACAGGTCTCTGATGGCCACACAGCAAGTGTCAAAAGGGGCAGGTTGGGCACCAGGGGCTTGGAAAGTATTCGGGCTGGTAGGTCAATGTAACAATCGGGCAGCTATCATTTTCAGCAGTGGCCGTCTCCTTGTTCCTACCATTTCTTATGCACTGAATTAGTTTGTTTCACAATTCAAATGTATACCACAGGAGGTGTCTCTGGTTTCATGTGCCAGTATGTGGAATAAGTAAGTTAACCTAGCCTGCAATGTATGGGGAGGCTTTTGTTGGGGTCATGTGTAGCACTCTGATGTTTTCTCACTTGTCCTAGGGCTTTTCCAGTGGGTATTGTGATATTTGGGGAATTTAGCACATATGTTGAGTGCTTATGGACCAGTCTGGGAGCCATTTTCACAGAGAAAAAACAGTCTTTTAATTCTTCAAAGGTAGACAACCCATGAAGTTCAACATAAAATAGCTTGCTTCAGCAGTACAACATACAGTATGCTTGGAAAACAGTCTCACCATTCTCAGGTTGATCCTGTTCAGTGTCCCAGGCCCAGGACTTTACTGTTTTGCTCAACAGAATCTCTTCAGGAATGCTCTGTACCCTTGAGCAGCTTTCAGCAGCGTGTGATTCAACACGCACACACACCTTGTGTGCCTGGCTCTCTCAGCCTCTCCAAACCTTCCAGGCTCCCAAGCTGTTCATTGTGTACCTCCATCACACACCAAACTTGGCTTGGCCCTCGTGTGACTCCAGCACGCACCCAAACTTGGCTTGGCCCTCGTGTGACTCCAGCACACACCACGCTTGGCTTGGCCCTCGTGTGACTCCAGCACACACCAAGCTTGGCTTGGCCCTCGTGTGACTCCAGCACACACCAAGCTTGGCTTGGCCCTCTCCTCGTGTGCCCCCAGCACCCACCACGCTTGGCTTGGCCCTCGTGTGACTCCAGCACACACCAAGCTTGGCTTGGCCCTCGTGTGACTCCAGCACACACCAAACTGGGCTTGGCCCTCGTGTGACTCCAGCACACACAGCCACCTGGCTCCCCACTGACGTCTGGGTGGAGTAATCCTGACTCCTGAATTCCTCTTCCCAGCTGGAGCTCAGAACATCAGCCAGCACCCTTTCCATATGGGCTGTGCACAGGTGTGCAATCATTAGGCGCTGGCCACTACTAAACCACTGACACAGGAATGGAGATTTCATCTCTCCCAATTCTCTGTGAAAGTTCCAGGATTCCATGCCAGAAAACCTGGAGAGAACTGCAAAGCCAGTTCTTTCCCAGCAAAAGGATTTGTTTCCTGGAACCTCTCAGCCACCCTGGGTGACTACAAGCCCCGGTTCTACTGTGTGATTGCCACACAATACCACAGATTGTTTATAGGTCTCCTCATAAAGGGAAACCTTGCAATATAATTCTAATTCTGATAAGGGTCACCTGACTTTCTGTGAGAGATTCCACATAGCATGCACTGCTTTGAAGGACTGGTTGAGGACCTCTGCTTTATGAAACCTTCCTCATCGCATACCTGGGGAAGGGTTCCTGCGCAGCCCTGAAATGTAACGTTTTGATGCGATCATACAAGAATAAAGATGTTTTCAGTTTGAAATGAGCTTGTTGGTGTGCTGGCAGTATATCCTATCCAAGTGCTGTGTGAAAGGTTCAACCAACCTGACCATAGACTGGTGAATGTGCCCATTTTGGTCCAGACACACCTGGGGATTTCAGCTGACTCTGAGCTTCTGGCCTGTAGTATTTTTCCAGTGGCCTCTTTCAAGGCAAACCTTACACTGTCTCAACGTACTGTTGTAGTATGATGGAAAATAAATTGCATTCATGTTAATCGGTTTGTTGAGGTGCTTGGGCGACCCATTCAATTGGTTCCTATGGGCAACTGCTCCAAAATGTTTGGACAATTTTTATTAAGACTGGAACAGAAACAGAAAGAATTTAAAGCAGGGGTGCATGGCAACCAATCTACTTTTTAGCTTTCATTTTCAAAGCTTAAAGAGGAACTTTACCAATATCTTTGAAATGATAGCCGTCGCATTTAGAAATGTTTAGTAATGACAATCTACACACAGATACTTCTAGATAATTGAAGGCTTTTTATTTGCATACCTTTCTCTTATCCTCTCCATTCTTCGCACAGTGGCCATTTTAAGGGCAGATGAATCCATCTCCCTTTACTTCTTGGAACTCTGGCACATGTGACTAGGACATGTGATCATGCACATCTTAGGGGAGGAAAATGCCTTTCCGTGAGATCACAGATGAGTTTTTTCCCATCAATGCTCTGCTGATGTAATCTACCCAGAATGCAATGCTTGGGCACAATTACATCACTGATGCCTAAGAGCACCAGGAAGTGGAGCGACAGTAATTGTTAGTAAAAGAAAAATGTGTGTTTGATTTAACTTCTGAATGTAAGAGGAGTTCATGTTCTGCATGCTGAGGTGATTGTTAGTGAAAGGGAGTAATGGTCCGCTTTAACTGAACAAGCAGAAGATAGAAGCTGCACCAGGTTCTGTCTGCTCCATTATTCTGATGGACCAGTTCACACTGAAGTGTAGCATTGATCACACGATACCATGTGATTAACACACGGTATCACACAACAGGCTTAGCATGCATTACTGTGCTCCCGGTGCCTTTTTGTTGCCATTTTATTATCACCCCAGCATAGCTCTCTGTGCTGCACCATAATACTTTTGCGGCACATATACTAATTGTTTTGCCGCAACACATGGTATTGCAGTACCGCACACAGCAGCCAGGAGGTTTGTTTGGGTAATGGAAATGAAATGCACCTAGCCCACGGTAACGCACCCTAGGTGCGTTAGCTTGTATTAATCGTACAGTATCAGGTAATTATTGCTACAATTAGGCCCCGTTCACACCGGGGCGGTTTGGCCGTGAGTATGCGCCGACATGAACAATCCCATACATTGCTATGGGGACCGTTCTTGCGACCGTCCGGCTCAGCGCGATCTGAACCGGCACCCCCCGCCCGAACTGCTCTCTGACCTTCTTTTTTTTTTTTTTGCGCTGATCAGGTTTGGGGCGGTTTTAATTGCGTTTCAGCTCTGAAGCGCAATTGCAACTCCCAAAACCTCCTTTTTTAGAAATCGGCGTGGAAACCGCGCTGATCCGCAGCCGCCCTGGTGTGCATGGACTCTTAGGTGTGAAAGGGCCCTGAATTCACCCCTAAATTCTTTGAATCCCATGTCATGTGTGCACCCTGTATTCTCTTCATTACATGCAATCTTTATTTTTACAAATAAACAGTGACTTGTTAGATTCAGCAGTATGTGTATGTTGCCATGCTTGCATCATCGTTACAATGTTTGAGATTGCAGTAGGAGAGAGCCTCTTATCGGAGGAACTGCCTAGACCATGTGATTTGCCATGGTCATGAGGTGTCTGCAGTAAGATCGTTGTGTCCAAGGTTTATAGCATTTGATACATGAAGAATAGTTTTTCTCTGTAATTTCATCTACAGTGGAGGCTCGCTTTGCAGATTGTTTAACCTACCCCTCTTTCTCTTTTATTTCTTCCCTGGAGGGTAATAGAAGCTACTGGAAGAACACGCGCATGACCCACCTGAGCTAGCACTCACCGGAATTCCCATCGTTCAGTGGCCAAAGAGAGAGCAGGTAAGCCTAATGGGGATATGTGGATAAAGACAGGCTTGCTGCCAGTATCTGTGGGGTGCCTTACTATCCTGTGTGGAAGAGAGAGTCATAAAGACAGCATGTTATTGTGTGAGCTACTCTTGCAGTCAACAGTTTGTAGCTCCCCACATGCTCCGAAAGAGGGGTATTTATCAAAACTGGAGCAGACAAAATCTGCAGCATCTGTGCATGGCAACCAATCGGCTTCCCTTTCATTTTCAAATCTTTGAGAGAAGCTGATTGGTTGCCATGCACAGTTGCTCCAGTGTTTGTCTGCTCCAATTTCCCCTCCGTGTATTTTCCATATTTATATCAAGCTGATGAGTGTATTAGAGAGAAGATAGAGTCATGGGCATCAGTCCTTGGCTTGGAAGAGCTCACGGTGATAAATGGGATGTTTTATAGAATGTATGATTATTTACTTTATCTCCTAATCTGAAAGCACGTCACTGCCCTCATGCTTGTTGGTAGCTCCCTGCAAAACTGATTAAGCCAGATAATCTCTGGTTGAGAGAGGGGGGATGTGACTTCCTCTGAGTCATGTAGATTTGTGTGTGTAATTCAGTTAGGACCTTGCCACATGCTGGCTGTCGATGGTATTTTTTTGTTTGTCGTGAACATAAATAATGAAAACCTATGGAAATGATCACTAACTTTTTTAATTCTAATTATATTTTTGCTGCCTCTTTTTCAGTTTAAAGTTCATCTCCGGCCCAAGATCCAGTTCACCAAACCTCACATCATGCGACCAGCAGCTAGACATGCCGTGTCAACCCCTCGGCCTGCAGGTACAATTTCTGGCCACACGGCGGCGTCATCCGGCGTCCGAAGGCGGCGAGTTAGGTGCCGGAAATGTCAGGCATGTCTTCAGCGGGAGTGTGGGACTTGTCACTACTGTAAAGACATGAAGAAGTTTGGTGGCCCGGGCCGGATGAAGCAGTCGTGTATGCAAAGGCAGTGCCTTGCGGTGAGTAGCTAGTCTAAATCTGATGAAATTACACTTAAAACATACTGTTGCCATGGCTGCGACTGGCAATTTTCTGTCAGGACCAGTTTAGCAAGGAGACCACTTCTAAATGTTTGAGAAATGTGATGATGAAAAATATGATATTCAATAATAAGAAAAACAGATCTGATATTCAAGTTCTTGTGACAGTGGCTACACAAAATGTACCAGAATACAATATCATTTCTCTTTTTAGGGCCCGTTCACACCAGTTGCAGTGCGTCTGGGCCTGATTCTGGCCAGAACGCACTGCCTAACGTTGCTTCCGGCTCACTTTCTAGTGGGGCAGGAGGTGGCCATTGAAGTGAATGTCACCGTAGCCACGCCCTCCGGCCGCAATGTTATTGCCCGCACGGGGATCGCAAGGCACATTGTGCCTGCGGTCCGGTGCGATCAAAATAGTCCTTGCAGCATTTTGATTGCACCGGACCGCAGGCACAATGTGCCCTGCAATCCCGTGCGGGTGATCGCATTGCGGCAGGAGGGCGTGGCTACGGTGACATTCACTTCAATGGCCTGCCACAGGCCCTTAAACCCAGCTTTATTTTTTAATGACCCTCCAGGCAGGCTTACAAAAAAATGCAGTTCAGGCTACAATGTTCGCATTCACGTCTGAGATGTCTTCTGCAATACTTCCTTTTCGTCATTTGATGACCTCAGTCTTCTTAGTTGTATGAAACCCAAAACAGTGAGAACAAGCTATGAATAAATGGATGTTTTGTCCTTTTGGCCCCGAGGTGGGGTCACCACGGTGTCCTTCATTTATAGTGTATTGTAACAGAGGACTGCTCTGTTTGAAGACGACCGAGAGCATCATTTAACTTGCCTGAAGAAAATAAAAATATCTATGTACATACAGTACATGCGGAGGTGGACCCTCAGGAATGGCAGGGAGGGCTGAGACTGAGTTGGACTTTAATGACTGGAGTTTTGTAGCTTTGATCCCCCTCGAATAGATTCCTTCATGGCTGCACTCTTTCACTGAAGACATTATCCTTTCTCCTTCAGCCCAGATTGCCCCATTCTGTGACCTGTGCCGTATGTGGGGAGGTGGACCAGATGAACGACTCTCAAGACTTTGAGCGGAAGCTAATGGAGTGCTCAGTGTGCAATGAGATTGTACATCCTGGCTGCCTAGATGTGAGTACCCAACGCGTGTATCTTCCCAGTAGATTTGAATGCTCTGAATGGGAAATGTTAAAGTTGAAATTCAGGCACAACCCAAATAATGCTCAAACCTCCCTCCTTCCCCCTGTGAAATGAATGGCACAGCAGGAATTTGTATCTGACCTTTTTCTTTTTTTTTTTTTTTTCTTTCAGAAAGTTATTTCTCCTCTGTTCTGTAATTTAATCATAGTGTCCCAAATATGTGTGCAGTGGAGGAAAGGACGGGGAGGCAGCGGGTACAGCTGGCTGTGCCTCTAGATAGGCAGAGCCAGCTGTCACTCACGCTGTTGGGTGGATCCAGACAGTAATGTTTGGATCTGTCCCGGCTGCGGCGGTCTCAGTACACCGTGAGCTGTAGCTCGCCATATACTAAGCTTTGGGTCACGGGGGGAGGTTAGTATATGTCCTCTCGTGACCCTTAAGAGAACTATGGGGGAAAAACACTGACCCCATAGTTCTCTTTTAAAGTGTAGGTAACCCCAGCACGGTTTTCAGTATGTTTTGCATCATGCCTTATTGAATACAGTTTTCTTAAGCAAATTTCTCCTTTTTTTTTTGTTCCCCCTTCTCGTCCATTGAGGGATCTGGGAAGGCTTTCACTGTTGTGTTTATACTGCCACCTACAGGAGTGTAGGACATTGGCATACAAGCTGTAGGCCAGCCCAGGATAACCCCTCCTTTTCCAGTGTGCTAGTGTCGTAGGCCGAAGGACACATTTTCTTCATCTCTGTTGTCTAAAGGACTAACCTAGTGTAGGTAGCACTCTTTTTTTTTTTTTTTTTTTTCTCCCAATTTTTTTTTTTTTTTTTTTTTTTACTCCCATTTTTCTTTTCTTTCGTTAAGACTCTTCTCTACACTAACAAACACAGAGAAAAGTGCCCACCCTGTGAAGTACTGTTGATTTATTAAAGGACTTTAAAAACAGACAAAAGGGCTACTCACAAGTGTAGCAGCATGTAAAGGATTTCCAAAAAGCAATGGATAATGCAAATCATCCAAACAAATATTCACACTCCTCTGTCCGGGTTAGTAAGCACCCAAGGATGGCGGAGCCAATGTCAGTGCTTACTAACCCAGACTGAGGAGTTTTCGCATTTTGGAAACCCTTTACATGCTACTATGTTTGTGAGTAGCCCTTTTGTCTGTTTTTAAAGTCCTTTTAATAAATGAACAGTACTTCACAGGGTGGCTGTTTTTCTGTTTCTTTTCATGTTGGATAAGAGCGTTCCGATCGGAGGAGGAGTAGCACCCCTGTGACAGATTGGAAATAGTTGTTGGCTGGCAGCGCCGGAGGAACTTTGTTCTTCTCTACACCACCTCTAGACAAGGTCTCTCCCATTGCAGCAATCCAACCTTTGGAGTATAGTGTCCAGACATTGAATGGATAGCTGGGAAGTGACTATGGGCACTGGATTCCGCTTAGGGTGCTTTCCAGATTCTGTTCTGATTTTTTTTAAAAAGGTTAGCTGCAAAGTGCTTTCCAGGTCCTGCACCAAGCCCGGTCTCTGGAGACTCACTTTGTGAATGTGCTGGTCAGTGGGTCGGGCCGATCACCAGAAGTGCATAGGTTTCCAGTTTCCTGCCATTTTCCACCACAGGAGGGGTTAACTCTGTGGGACTATATGCTGATTTCATCTGCTAGGTGGAGTGTCGAGTCAGTGCGCTCACTTTCCTGCTTTAGTGGATCAAGAAGGCATCTGTCTGCTGCTGCTCCTGCTTAGCTTAGATCTTATATCCGTTCTTGCTGCCTGCCTACAGTGACTTTAGTCACCTGAATCTCACTGGCTGCCCCAACTGTCTTGGTTTCAGGAATACCTTAGGCCTTGTCTGGTATCCTGAGCCTTATGTTACCTTACCACCATGCAGTCACAACATGACTAATTCTAAATACAGCAGACAGTTCTGCTTTACAGAGTGCCTCCAGCTCGCACTTTAGTAATGGCACCAGGGCTGCTTGCACACCCAGCTTGGAATTCCATTGCCCTCTTCTCCCAGAGTCTATCCCATCTTTGGAGTCTTCCTTAGCTCCAGTGGGTGTAGTTGGTTCTTCTGCTCTCTTAGCTGAAGTTTATACTACAGTCATGTAAGATTTTATGACCCAAATCATTTTCTGCCTCTAACTGCAGAGGCCACAAGCATGTGTCAGTGTTCTTCTGCAGGTTCTATCTAATCTACTCACAGCCTCTGAGCCATCCACTGCTGAGACTTAGTTTCTGAGTCACCCCAGTCTCTACCTAAGGCACTTGCCTCTCCAAGGAGTCAGTCCTCGGTCCTTACTCCCAAATTAAGAGAGACCATTTCAGCTCTTATTGATGTAGTGCACACCACTCTAAATTAGAGGATCAGCCTGTTGCTTTTATCACTGCTGCTACCAGTCTTTGGTCCTTCAGAAGACCACAAAGACCTTCCCAGTGCACTTGCTGTTCCAAGTATTCCACTATGGAGATTGAAAACACCTCTGCCCTCACTATGAATACAGCAGCATCCTGCGTCACACCGGTAGAGGATGCAGCTGCTTTTAAGGACCCAACTTAAAAATGGTTGAAAGCCCCCTCCTAGAGCCGTGTGCTCATTGGAAGGCCCTGCTCATCACCCCATCTTGACTGTTACCTTACTTTTCAAAACTGTACCTGACTGGTCAAAGCACCTTTTTTAAAAGAGATCTTGCCACTGTTGCAGTTGATCCCTTAGTTATGGGACTTTTGAAGCACTTTTTTTTATTAAGCTACAGATGTGACGGGCTGATGGAGGTTTCCTGTCTCCTCTTCTGCATAGGTTTCCCGTCCATACACATGTGGAGGGCACTTTGGTTAGAGTGAAGCCGGCATCCTAGCCAATCAGGAAGCCGGGCAGCATGTCATAACCCACCTCCCGGCTTCCTGATTGGCCATGAAGCCGGGTTTACTCTTTGCTAGGCAGCCTCGCTTCCTGACCAATCATGACGTGCCGCCCGGCTGCCTATTAACAATTGAAACCCAGCTTCCTAGCCAATCAGGAAGCCAGGAGACTGGTCATGGGCTCCCTTGGCACTGCCAATCAGCGGGAGATCTCCCTCTGACTGGAAATTCTGGTATCGAAGGTAAGTATCGGAGCATTTGGGCAAGTACTCGCCCAAATACTGTGTCAGTACTGATACTAATATCGGTATTGGTGAGTGAGTTCTTAGTGACAACACTGCTCCTCCATAGGTACAGTAAGTGAGCATGGTCACCCTAGGATGAGAAATACCCTAGGATGAGAAATACAGGCACCACATCTATGGACTTGTAAGCTGCAATATATTACGTTTTTGGTTTAGATACGCTTTCAACTTCATATTTTTCTTTTACAGATGGATGGTGAAGGTTTTTTGAGTGATGAGTTACCAAACTACTGGGAGTGCCCCAAATGTTATGAGAGTCGCAAGCACACGGTAAGCCTAGTGAACCTATACTTCACGAGCCATAACCATAGGACTGCAATAAATACCAATTGTTGACTCCTAAACAGTTGTAATTCAGAAACTAACAAAAAGCACCCATCCTAATCTTGGCTCCAGCTGTCAAATGTTATCAGGCATTATTATCCCTTGGACGTATGTGACTTCTATCCAATGCTAAGGGCGATTTTAGTGTGGACTTCTCAGCTCATCAATGCATTAAACTTCCCGATCTTACCCTGATACCATGCTGTTTAATAGTTCCTGTCATAGGATGGGGAATGTGTACCAGTATCCATTTTTGGAACATGGTTTTAATTTTTGTGTCTCTTACAGACTGGCTATCTTTTAATCAATACTTTATTTTGTTTAAAGTTGTATGTGAACCTAAAACATACACCCTTTGTTTTTAATTGTGTAAAAACACCACCTTTTTGGGTAAATAATTTTGATGCAACACAAAAAAGTTATAGTAATTTAATGAATCCTCTAAAAGTAAGTTAATATTGGGTGGAATTAAGCACCAAGTGAGACAGTGCCTGCAGCAGCACGCATTCCTCGCCAAGATTGAATGATATAAATGTAATGACACTGCATCTGTGCTTTGTGAAACACCAGAACTCACATCTGTCATAGACACTGTTCTGATGTGACGGGGAACTTGAAGTACAGCTTGGATGTACTTTCCTGCAGCAGCTTAAAAACAACTAATCAGGTTAATAAAATCACTTCGTATGAAATGTGAGTCATAGAAATTATTAAAGCTAAGCTAAACTTGGCAGCTCAACAGCAATGTGGTGGCTGCATTAGTCGCCTTTTTTCCACCTTTTATCTTCACCTGGACATTTATCCAGTAAGTGTTTTGTTATTTTTCAACTTTCTTTAACAGGCTAAGCTGTCCAGCAAAGGTGGCAGTTAGACGTTTGAGACAAACCATTTAACACTGACGAGGGTGCTTGCAATGGTCTGCTTTTATTCATTCATGTAAAAACCTTTATTCCAAAATGGGGGGAAAAAATAACTGCTTTAAAAAATGTTAGCTGGTGTTTGGCTTGAACCCATTAATCACCAGTGACCTCCATATCCATAGCACGTCACTGGCATCGGGCACGTTTAAACTTGTAAAGCCGGCTGTCGGCATTACAGTAGAAGCAATTTCTGGCGGCTAAGCTGCCGCCAGATCGTTTCTCCGGGCCAGTAAACGGGCTGTCGAACCTCCCCGGCCGACGCTCTGTACTAAGGGACCGGGAGCGATGCAGCTTACATCACTTCCAGTCCCATAGCTGTCAGTGCTGGGCTCCTGAAGCCCAGCTATAAGCTATTGAAGTGCGATCTGCACTTCAATAGCTTATTTCAAGTGTAAATGTGATACTAGGGGTCTTCTGGACCCCCAGCATCACCTTAATTGAGTACCTGTGTGTCTGCACTGGCAGCAATTTCCTATCTTTTTTTCAAATTGTGTCCTATGGTGTGAGTAGTCCTATGGTGTGAGTAGTATCTGTTTCTCTATACAGTGGTTTTGGTTGAAGATAATGATTTCTGCCAAAATAGAGTACACAAGAAAGCACTAATATGATATGACATCTTTCTTGTTGGCTTACATGATTGTACCACTGTGGAAATTACAACCATTTTTATAGTTTTTGAAAATAAAGTGTCTGCCTTTTTGAAAAGGTGAACCACACAGTTATTCATATAAAGTAGACGTAAACCCTTTCTGAATGACGCTCCTTGTTTTTGTTTTTTAATGAAAATGAAACATTTTGTTTTTTACCTTCATCATTTTGTGCATCCTAGTGCTGCTGATCTGCTGCAGCTTTTTAGCATCTACTTCCAATCTACATGCCCCCCAGTGACTGCATGGCAGGTCTCAGGGCGGGTTTCCTGATTGTTAATACAGGGATGGACCACTCTTCTTATGTGGGTAGAAACGGGAGCTCAGTCTTCATTGAAAGCCCATGAAACAGGGAGACAGACCCCTGATATTTGCCTTTTAAAATAGAAAAAGAGATTGGGAACACAATCCCTAATCTCTTTTTCGGCAGCCCCCGTTATAAATGAACAGGAATCCTCTGAGTGTTCCTGTTCATTCATAATTTGAGGGCATAGTGTGTTTTACTATAACCACATTCATGAATGAACAGGAGGTGATGTAGAGCAATTCCCATTCGTTCATAATTGAGGATATAGTAAACATGCTCTGTCCTCAATTATTTACAAACACTCAGCGATCACCGCTGAGTGTTTGTAAATAATTGACCGCTGTCAATCTCCAAACCTGACAGCGGTCACCGGAGCCTAAGCGGTGCGGGAGGAGAGCTCAGCCTCCTGTGACAGCGCTGGCAATCTTCGACCCCACACACCGCTCTCCTCTGATCTGTGACAGGAGGCTGGGCAGTGCAGGGAGGAGATACTTAGGCCGCTCACAGCGCTCTCCTCCTGCAGCGCTTGGCCACCTGTGACAGTTTCTCTCCTCCCCGCCTGGACACAGAGCAGCGCCCAGCGGGGAGGAGAGAAAGAATGGTTGCACCACCAGAAAATTGCACTTTCGGCATTTCGCTAAAAGTGCCATTTTCGGCCGACTAATCGGTGTATCCTTAATTAAAACTTTAATTTACAATCTAAATGGACACTTTTGCGTTTCAGTAATATCTTTGCATCTTTTACTCGTTACCTCCCTAGATTACTTACTAAGCAGCATGCCTGTTCTGTTTTGTTGTTCATTTACTAATATATTTCTTTTTTTTCCCAAACTGACTGCACTGATTTCTTGCTGTAATTTCCATACACAAGCAGATGGTTCACTCAGTGATGCATGAGAACAAGGGTCCCCACTACTGACTCTTACTAGGAATTGGCGGCAAGGGCTTCATTAGAATGTCTCCTCTGCTATTAAAAATGGAAGCCGTGAAATGTGGGGTCAGAAATGTTAACTTATAGCCCAGCTGAACTTTTAGTTTAAGTCTGCAAAGTACGTTCCAGGTGCATGAAAACAAACGGTGTGCAAAGTCTTAGTTTGTTTTCTTTAAAAAGCAGCCACAGCCTGAGCGGAAAAGCCTGTCCCCTGCCAGCATGCAATAGAGAAGTGTCCTTGCTCTTTGTGTGGGCAGTGGTGTTTCTGTAGATGTCCAACGCACCCCCTGCTGAGTCTAAGCTAGAAAAACTCATGAGCCCACGTTTAGAGAGCACTAGCTTTGAATCAGCAGTGAGCATGTCGGGACTCTGCAGAGAGACCCCTGCTTCCTACCAGAGAGCAAGAATCCTACTCTTCAACGTGCTGAAAGGACACAGGCTTTTGTACCCAGGCTGTGGCTGCTTTTTAGTTTGCTTTTTAGTTTGATGTACATGGAGCGTGTTTAGCTGATTTAAACTGATAGTTTAGTTGAACTTTATTGTGCAGCATTGAAGGGGAGTAAGAAAGACAGGTACATCCTAAGAGTCAAAGGTCAGTGTTTACATTCCTTTGCCATTTTTAATGCTTTGTCAGCAGCTAAATGACAGGTCCTCCTTCAGGTGATTTGCACAGTTTATGGTTCATTAAACTGTTACCTGCTAAACACATAACTTTCCCTTCTTTCTTTTGTTTTTAGAAACGTAAGGCTGTTGATAACTGTGATCTGGATCCCCATTTATCAGCCAAAGTTCTGAGGCCTCCCCTGGTACAGAGTCCTCCATCACCGCCACTTCTTCTCCTTCCACCCTCTCCATCATCTGCTCCACCAACGCCGCCACCAAGCACGCCACAGCGAGAAGACCGGGTCATGCGGCGGCAGCTGACCAGAGAGAAAGAAAACCACCCGAGTGGGCGAGAACAGTCCGAGGCTGACCGCGTCTGGCATCGGGGCTCCTACCTCACAGTCACACTTCAACGACCCCCGAAAGAGCTAAGTAGTTCTTCGATTGTCCCCAAGCTGCAAGCCATTACACCAAATTACCGGCATCCCATCCGCCCACCTCCTCCTCAGCCGCCTGAGGAAGATTATGACGACGACGACGAGGAGGAGGATGAAGAGGAGGATGAAGAAGGGGAAAACGGCCTTATGTGTGGACAGACGAAAGACCAGCTGTCTATTCAGAAGGATGTGTGGCTATCTGTCTTCCAGTACCTCACCAAGAAGGAGCTGTGTGTGTGTATGAGGGTCTGCAAGGCCTGGTACAAATGGTTAGTGTCTGTATTCTTGCATGTTGTATTATAATTGTCTGAAACAGCTTTGATCTTACAATGTTAGAAAGTTAGAAGATGTAGACTGATTGGTTAGCGCACTCCTTGGGGGGAGGGGGTGGGGGGGTTGTGGCTGTTGTGCGGCTCCTTATGTTATTATACCAGGTTGTCTAACTGTGCGATAGCGTTCACGTGATCTTACAATGTTACCTATAGAAGGAGCTCTAAATTAAATTAACGTGAACACAGATCAGGGGTTAGATCCTTTGTCAGGTGTCAGGTTTTTATTGCTCTCTGTACCTTTTCATGTCTCATTGTATACAGTTTTCTTAGCAGATTTATCTATCTGAAGCTCATTCCCGTAACAGAACTACCCTTTGCAGGCTGACATCACTAATCCACTTCCTCACAGTTAGCAGCAACATTGTCCCCATGCTGCGTGCACTCCTTCAGTCGGTCGTTAGGGCTGCCTACCAGATCTATTAGATAGGTAGCTCATCGGCTAACTGAAGAGCTCACACGGCAGTCTGACAATGCAGGAACTCCAGGTAAAAAAAAAAAAAAAAATGCAACAGGTTCAGAAAATGTTACCTGCTTAAAGTAGAACTATTGTCTCATAATTTAAAATTAGAGGTGCACCGAAATGGAAATTTCAAAAACGAAACTGAGATTAAAAAAAGTCAGGCCGAAACCGAAAATGTTTTTTATGTTAACGTTTTCAAATTTGTTTTTAAGATTTTATTTTTATTTGTTATAAAAAAAATATATTTTTTTATTCATTGTTTTATTAAATATTTTTATTTTTTACTTTACTTTTCGGGGAAATATTAGGGGTCTAAACAGATCTCCGTATATTTCCCTTTTTAAAATAGAAAAAGAGGTTGAGTACACAGAGTCCTCAATCTCTTTTTCTGTATCCCCTGTTATAAATAAACAGGAATCCTCTGAGTGTTCCTGTTCATTCATAACTTGAGGACAAAGTATGTTGACTATAACCACAATCATGAATGAACAGGAAGTGATGTAGATCACTTCCTATTCATTCATGATTGAGATTATAGTCAACATACTCTGTCCTCAATTATCTACAAACACTCAGCGATCACTGAGTGTTTGTTCTCGCTCTCCTCTCTGACACGCTGTCACAGGAGGCTGGGTGGGGCGATGCGGGAGGAGAGCTCAGCCTCCTGTGACAGCAATGGCTGTCTCCGCCCACACAACGCTCTCCCGATCTGTGACAGGAGGCTGAACGGCGTGGGGAGGAGAGACATCGGCCCCTCACAGCGCTCTCCTTCATTAGTGCTCGGCTGTCTGTGACAGTTTCTCTTCTCCTCCCCGCTGGGACACAGAGCAGTGCCCAGCGGGGAGGAGAGAATACACCAGCGGTAGCCAAACTCCGGCCCTCCAGCTGTGGTGAAACTACAAATCCCATGATGCGTCTCTCTCTGGGAGTCATGTCTGTGGCTGTGAGAATCTTGCAATTCCCTCATGGGATTTGTAGTTCCACCACAGCTGGAGGGCCGGAGTTTGGCTATCCATGGAGTACACGGATGCACCGCTGTATCAGCCAGAAAATTGCACTTTTGGCATTATGCTAAAAGTGCAATTTTCGACTGAAATGTTTTGGCGGCCGATATATCGGTGCATCCCTAATTTCAAATATTTTTACTTTAACGCGTGTGCATTACATACGGTAGTACTGGATTTGGGACCCATTTACACAGGAGTTTTTAGCTGTACTATAGGAAAACTGTATACAGTGAGACATGCTGATGGGCAATGGGAAGGTATTAGAATGGGCTTACAAAAGGGAGTGGGTGCCACAAATGTGGCAATGTTGAACAAGGAGTTGGGAGTGTTTTGCTCAGATAAGGGATGAATGGCGTGGAAGGACCACAAGAGTATATTAGGGATATTTAGTGATCTTTTGGCAGTTATTCACTACTAAGAAAATGATCCCTCAAGCAGCAGAAGTGCTACTAGTCTCTGACCCTGCAGGTGGTGACAGGTCTGCTCTGAGACATTGGGTGTCCTAAATGATAAAAAGGATGTAGAATTTCAGTTGCATATAGTCAGTCAGGTTGTAAAAAAGACACCTGTCCATCAAGCTCAACCTATAGAGATGTAAAAGAAAAGTCTAAACAGAACGCTATGCCCACAGCTACCCACTGTTGATCCAGAGGAAGGGGAAAAAACCCTATAAAGCATGGTTGGATTTGCTCCAACGGGAAAAAAATCCCTTACTATTTTGTGTTTTTGGTTCAGCTGGTCAGCATGCAGCAAAAGGTTTTCTGTTCCAGTCTAGATTGGTCAGGGTTGTTAAACAATTGTTGGCAATTCAGCTTTTGGAGCATTTTCCCCGATGGGTTAGCCATCTGCCATCTTTTGTATCTCATTGATTTTCACGTACTGCTATTGCAGGTGCTTTTGTCATTTAAAAGGAAATTTTTGCCAATTTTGGGGGTTTTTTTTATTGATTTACTCAAGCCACCTTTGTTCTTTGCTCCTTTTGCTTTCTCTGCTCTGCATGCACACTGCTCTACTGGCTGTCATGCTGATGCGTAGTCCTAGCATTGTCACCTGCAGTCCATGCCCTTTGCAATGCCCAGTAGTGCTTTACTGCTAGCGGCCTGCTGGGCAGATTGGGTGAAGATTGGAGATGAGGTAAGGGATCCCTGGTCCTATTTTGAGGAAAGAACCTGCAAAGCTGTCACAGCTGTAATATTGCAGTTTTTTGTATGTGTTCTTTGGAACTCTGGGACTGGTATAAGGTCAATAGAAGAAGAGGCAGGTATTCTATGCACTCCAGTTGTAGGGATCAGCCATGCAATCGCTCTTCTGCCCCTGGCTCAGATGAAAAAAAGAACATTTACTACAAAATATGGAGAATGTCTTTGTTGCCCTCCCTCTATAACAATACTAGTTGCTATGTTATGCTGCTGAACCAATTACTTCTATATTTGGAGCCACCACCTGCAGAAAGTATGGAAGGATTGTTAGATCTTCTGGCTTTCCTCTGCCATTCTGATGCACACGCTGATTCTGGGTCAGGGGCTTATTTATGACAGAGAATGAACATCTCTACCCCCTCTCCATTATACGCCAGTCAATACTGCAGCCAAATCATACAATACATGCTGCAGTATTGCCCTGTGTTGCTTCATGAGGTTCTCTCTGATTAATGCAGCAGAGAGAACTATGTGACTGGAGGAAAGCTGGTCACGTGATTCAGGAGGTCACCAATGTATTTCAGTAAAGGTTTCTATTAATAAAAAGCAGAGGCCAAGTGAGCTGGGGCAAAGAGCATGGTCTCCGGGGCTGCTCCATATCTGTGCTGGCACAGCTTGAAGGTCCAGTATGAGGGGAGAACAGATGGTGGCGTCCAGGGGGATTCCCCACCCTTTTGTTTATTTGCTGTGAGCCATTGTGATTGACAGATTGCTAGACATCTAAAGGAGCCTAAAGCAGACCAGTCACCATAATTGCAAGAAGCACTTATTCAAGTTGACCTTGTCTCTATAACGCTGCATGAAAGTTCCTGTGGCGGATTAATAGGTAATATTCTTGACTTTGCCCGACTTTCCCCCATAAGGGTGACTCCGTCCTGCTTTTGGTCAGATCTTGAATGTTGATTAGCTGAAATTTCTCAAGAAGATGATTCTGCGCTGTGCCGCGGCGTCTTCTCATGCAATTCAGGTTACTCGGCATTCCCAGAGATCTTGTGGGCAGGAGAATGATGTCACCACCTGCATTATAGAAGTTGGGGAATGGTGAGTATACGATCTATCTTCCCGCACAGGTTTTTTTATGCAGTGATTTAGAGAGGGGAGCACCTTGAATAGGCAAACCTTGCCGCTGAGGTCAAAGGTCCAATTTTAAGATATTGTGTTCCAGAGAGAGCTAGCTAGCCTGGTGATTAAATGTTTTTTTTTGGTTATATATCCCCCATTAGGAAGGACTTTTGACTGAACAGTTTTGTCTTATAGGGGATGTGACAAACGCCTCTGGTCCAGGATTGATGTTAGCCGCTGCAAGTCTCTTGTGCCTCAGGCCCTAAGTGGCATCATTAAAAGACAACCAGTACAGCTCGACCTGAGCTGGACAAATGTATCCAAAAAACAGCTTACCTGGCTGGTCAACAGATTACCCGGTGAGTACAGATTACAAGGGGCAGTGGGCTCATTTTATTTAAAGCAGAACTCTAGGTAGAAGTAAACACAAATGAATGCCATCTAGATATTCATGAATACATTATGAAATGAAGTGTTTTGTTAAATGCAACCAGTGTAAGAGTGGTTTGGCATCAGCCTCCCCCAATTTCTTGTGTAGCAGCACTCTGACTAGGAGAAGGAGGGGCAGGACTGGGAGCATTCAAATATGCTGACAAAGAGAGAGTAGAGGGATGACTTCATCTGTGTGCTGCTGCTCTTTTACTATTCAGTCAGAATGCTGGCGGTGAAGGGAGAGCCACTGTATTCCGCTGTGTCGAACTGTAACAGAGAGTGGAGTGTCCTGTTCCTGGGTGTACTGTGTAAATCTTCGATCTGGATGTGCTGAAATATAAAGCCTTTTGGCAGCTAAAACATCTCATCTGTGTATTTAGCTGTTTGCCTGGAGTTGAGCTTTAAAAGCCACAGCCTAGACAAATGTGTGTGTTTCAGTAGCCCAGTAATGACGAGGAAGGCATTTGGAAGCTTCTGGCAGTTCTCCCCAGATATATGCAAATAGCCAAAAGATGAAATGGCTTCAGGGTAAAGGCCCTTTGTAATATTCAGGGCGGATATGACCCACAGCCAGCCGTATAAGCAAATAAACTTTTATTCTTTTCCACAAACAATCAAATAAAATGGCTTATATTCAGCAGAATGACAAAATCAACAGGGCTTATTGTCAGCAAATACAAAATTTGGCTCAGCCCTGTATACTAAGTCCCAGCCTCAGGGGTAGAGTCCCAGCCTGCTCACAGAGGGTTCCACTATGGACACAGGTGCCCCAGCAGTGTCTCGGTAGACTGTATTCCACAGTTTAACACACACAGCCATGTGTCCTGCTCCAAACACTCCTCACAGACTGACTGGCTTCCTGTTCCTTTTTGACACAGGCTCTGGCTGGTGGGTTAACCCTTTCATTGCCAGAACTGGCTGTAGTCGGGGATGGAGGCTCTGTCCCACCCAAAAATCTCTCTGAGCCTCTGGATTCCGGGACCCATGCATATTTAACAACTCTGGGAAGACTGCCTAGCAGTTTCTCTTACAAGTCCGACCCAGAAGCCCTCACCCTGCTTGGCCAGAACCCTGAATACAAGGTGACCCTAACTGGACCACCACCTAAACAAGGGAGGTATATATCGTCCATCCAGGACCCATTCCTGGTGTCCTGTACACCTTCCTTCTGCCTGCTAGCATTTTGCACTGAGCCACACATGCACAGCTAAGTGTACAACATCGCCATGCATGGAAGTTGCGTTATTCCTGAGTGGGCAGTTAAGACTGTTGAAGATTCCGGACCTGGAAGCAAACCAGGCGAAGGTGGTGGAGGGAAGCGAGAATATGCAAGTGTGCTATTAAGGATGCACTGATACCGTACTCATGAAAATGCCCCGATACTAAACATCGATACCGGCGCTTTGTCTTTTTAAACTGAAGCGACTGCTTTAGGTCCCACGCTTGCTGGGAACCTCGGCAGCCTTACTGTACGGTACCTATTTACAGCACTGGCAGCACATTCTCCCCTCCTTTCTGGATAACCACACCGCCTGCAAGACCTTCCGGACCCCTGGTGAGACCCCACACAGCCCTCCATAGATCCCCCCACTGTACCCTAGGGCAGCACATAGTATGTATCTTCATACTATTCTGCATAGATGTATAGTGCATTGCTGGGATTTGTAGTCCTCAATAGTCGCCATTCTGCATTGCTGTATGATGATTTGATGGGATTTGTAGTCCCTATACAGCTTGGAGTCAGTGGCAGAACTACCAGGATCACAGCTGTAACCAGGCCCTGTCCTCAAAGCATTAATCTGTATTGTTTTAGAAAAAAAAAAAAGTATCATTAATTGGTATCGGGGAGTACTTGGTCTTGAAAAAATGGTATCTGTGCATCCCTACTGTGTATAAATTGCACGCTATGGAGAGAGCCTTGGGGGTCTAAGTTAATTTATAAAGGAAACATGTCGCAAAAGAGAAGCATAGAAGATACATATCCATTGCCGACCTCTCCTTCTGGGAGTGCAGGTTATTTGCATTGCTGCACTTCTGACTTCTGTATTTTGATTCTCTGACCCAGAACAAGGCTGGTGATAAAAACCCCCTGACATTCCTGATTCACATACTGGTTCTGGGTCAGTGTCTCAAGGCACTGAAGCCAGAGGATCAGCAAAACAGCCAGGCATCTAGAAAGTCCTCGGGTACGACTTTTATTTATTCTCTTGTGACTGATTTATTGAAAGGCAGAAAAAAAAGTCAGTTGCGGTTTGAGGCACCTGGGTGCTCTGGCTGCATCATATCTATATCATATTGGGCTTGCAGGATACAACAGTCCTGTTAGATTAGACATCAATGTTTATATAGTCTATAAGGTCAAAAGTATGTAGACATTTGACCACCACACTTGTAGTATGCCCAGAAGTATGTGGACATCTGACCACCACACCCACAGTAGCCCGCCCAAAAGTATGTGGACATCTGACCACCACACCCACAATATGCCCAAAAGTATGTGGACAGCTGATCACTTTCAGCATGACTGTCCCTGTGCACCAAACCAGCGTCATAAAAACATGGTTGGATAGGTTTGGTGTTGCCTACACAGAACCCTGACCTAGACCCTATTAAACCTCTTTGGGATGAATGGGAAACATATTTGGAGCCAGGTTTTCTCATCCAACATCATCATTTGCTCTTACAAATGCTCCTTTAGCTGAATGGGTGCACAGACTTGCTAAAACAAATTGTGGAAGTTGTTCCCAGAAGAGGTGGAGGTTCACAGCTGCAAAAAGAAGCTCACTCCATGTTAAAGCGGAACTTTACCCATATATTTAAATAACAACACGCACACCTTTTAGAGAAGTTTAGTAATGACAATCTACAGACACATAGTTCTAGATAATTGCCAGCTTTGAATTCTTTGCATTCCTTATTTTACTTTTCTTCTGACAGTGGCGGCCATTTTAACTAAGGGCAGGTTACTAGCATTAGCATGGGTTCTCCGAGACCTGAAAGTTATTCCAAGAATTCTTAATTGCTCTCTTGAATTGCTTAGCAGTTAAATGATAGGCGTGTGAGGGTTCAGGTGTCTATGTTGTTACTCTATATCAGCCTTTCTTGGGCTTTTTAGCAATTAAGAATTCTTGGAATAACTTTCAGGTCTCGGAGAACCCATGCTAATAATATAATTCAATAATAAACAATTCATTCCCACACAGCTACCACCTCATGTATCACTTGCCCCTCCCTTTTAGATTGTAAGCCCTCACAGGCAGGGCCCCCCTTACCATCTTGTCTTGAATTGTATTGTGACTGTGATGTTATATCCTTATATTGTAAAGCACTGAGCAAACTGTTGGCGCTATATAAATCCTATATAATAATAATAATCTCTATATGTACAGCATTAGCATGATCAGTATGTAGTGATAAAACAGTAAGAAATGTGATGTAATTAGCACATTTGACACCCTGGGTTGCATGATATCATAAGATAAACACAATTAAAATTCCAGTACTTCTGGAACTCTGGCATGTGTGACTATGACACGTGACCACGCACATCTCGGGGAGAAAAATGCCTTTCCCTAAGATCTCATGGGACTACAGATGAGATTTCCCAGCAATGTTCTGCTGATGTAGTCTTCCCAGAATGCTGTGCTTGAGCTCAATCACATCATTTGTGCCAAAGTGGACCAGGAAGTGGATGGACTCTATTTGTAAGTAAATAAAAAAACATGTTTGTTCAACTAATGAATGTAATATGTATTGCATCAGCATGCAGCTCTGCATGCTTATATAAAATCATATTACATTCAAGTGAACCTTTCACTAATTATTGTATCAGCATGCAGCTCTGCATGCTTATATAAAATGTTAGTGAAAGGTTCACTTTAAAGCTCAACTCCAGGCAGATACAAAATCCACCAATGAATGCTGCTCTCTGTTTCGATGAATACATCAATGCATTTCTTTTTTGTTAATTTCAAGCAGTGCAATGACCTGAATGTGACCTAGTATCAGTGTCTTGCAATCCCCTGTACAACAGCTTTCACACTGGGGAAGAAGTCAGTTGATTGTGCTGCAGCGCAAGAGGGATTACTGATGGAAGGAGAGAAAAGGTGTCTAGTCACAGAAGAGGGGGGAGACCTACTCATCTGCAGCAGAGACAAATCGGGTCCAATGCTCTTCTAGACATTGCCTACAAAGCTGGAAACCTAGAGTTGAGCATATTGCATCCTGTTGGTGGAAATTGCTTATAGCCTTATTGCTCCAGGGTTATGATAGAGCCTAATGGTAACTCTTTTAAAACAAGCCCAACTCATCTCTCTCCTGTGATCTCTTGTAGGGTTGAAAGACCTCATCCTCGCAGGCTGTTCGTGGTCTGCCGTGTCTGCCCTCAGCAGTTCTAGCTGTCCTCTCCTGCGAACGATGGATTTGCGTTGGGCAGTGGGAATCAAAGATGCACAGATCAGAGACCTACTGACACCACCATCAGAAAAGCCAGGTAAGATTGTGGTTGGTTCTTGTGTTGGTTCTTCACTGTTGCTTGGCTCTGGAAGTCAGGGACTCATAAATTAAATCTTACACATGTTTAAATAATTCGCTGAGATTGATGGGTATAGAGAGCACTGCCTGTTGTCATGGAAATGTCCTAAATTGCCTTGTTCTACCGTGATCTTTCCCTGATACTGAAGATGGTACGCGGGAGGCAGTGTGCATCTGGCTGTGCAGAAATTTCCCACCAAGACATCAAATCCCTTTGTGCTATGACCACTGTCACATGAGTGTTCTAAGTTTTTGCCACCATAGGTGCACTTCAAGACAACAGCAGATAGAAGATTGGGGTGCCACATGATCGTTCTGCAGAACATGGGAAAATGTGCAGAATAGTACAGAGCATGTGTGCGTATTCCGTTTGCTGACATCCCAAGTGCTGGTCTTGGCTCCGGGTGGCAATAGTGGTCGGCTGGGAACAGACACAGGCACTTTTTCCATGAAGACCAATTGAGGCTTCCAACAGGCTGCATTATGCAGTAATAAATACAGGTGTCTTTATTGTTTACTTTCTATTTGCTGCAGCAAAGGGTTAAAACATTCTCTGCTAGCAGCATACTGGAGAGCCGGACCTCTGCTCGGGGAGCATGAGCACTGTCGATTTGAAGCAGTGAGAATGGGGGATAAAAAGACCACTGAAGACCCAAACTCAGAGGTTGCAGATGTACAGCCCTCCAGCATACAGAAGCCGTTTTAACTCTTTGTTACAGCATATAGGAAGTAAACAAAATGTCTGTTTATTACTGTATAAGGAGCCTGACTGCATCACAGTAAGGTTGAGTGGTTGATTGATTAAAGTGGAAGAAAACTTTTTTTTTTTTTAAACGGCCGGGCGCCGTGGAGGATGTAACTCCTGTGCATTTGCACCAGAATTACATCATCAGCGGCCACCCAATGACCAAAGAGGACTTCCGGCAACCCTAAAGTGTCAGCGGCAGATATGTTGGTGGCTGAGGACAGCATTGAGAACCAAAGATGGATACGACAGCGCTGGAGAAGAGCACACTTTTAAGCTAAGTGTTCCTAAGTGTACAAATAGGCTTGTACATACATGCACATTAAAGTAACATTAAACCCTCAGATTTTTTAACATAAAACAATTGTGTAATGTGCGCCTTACTGTAATCCATGGTTGTTTCCCTTCTCTTTGCTGCTCTTCCTTTTAAATCCTCATGTCTTCTCATGCTTGGGCAGAACTTCCCTTTGCAGCCGAGTGCCTCTTCCTGTAGTGCTGGCTCAGGTTACAAACCAATACACAGACACCATGTAGCCATTCCCGAGACAAGGCAGTCTGCTGCAAAACAGAAGTTCTGCCCAGCATGAGAAGAGATACAGATTTAAAAGGAAGAGCAGCAAAGAGAAGGGAAACAACCATGGATTACAGTAAGGCACACATTACAGTATTGGTTTATGTTAAAAAATCTGAGGGTTTAATGTCACTTTAAGGCAAAAACAATCAAAGTGTTTCACTTCTGCTTTAAGTGGGTGACTGCACAGGTTGGGTAGACCATATTTCTTTCCATTTCAACCGGAGGAGCATGTTGGGCAATGATTATCTTGTGTCTATGGTTAATTTATACTGGAAAGAGAGATCTTCTGTTTACAGCATAAGAAAAAAGTGGCATGTCCTTATAAATGTTATAATCCCTGATCTGTGATTGTGAAAAGTCTCCATTTTGGGAAAGTTTGAAGTAAGACTTTCTTGGGCTTAGCTATCTTTTTATTTTAGATATCTTTCTTTTTTTATTTTACCCCCATGACCGTGACTTGTTTTTGTGACATCCACAGGACATGACGTTCGCAGCAAGCTCCGCTTCTTAACGGACCTGAGGCTTTCTGGTTTAGACATCTCCGACATCACGCTGCGGTTAATAATCCGGCACTGTCCTCACTTGTCTAAGCTGGACCTCAGCCACTGCCCACTTATGTCAGACCAGTCTGTCAACCTGCTGACTGCTGTGGGCTCATGCACGCGAAACTCTCTCACACACATCCACTTGGCAGGTAAGTGGACAGACATGGTCCCTGTTTCCACTTGGCTTTGATGACTCTTTGGTAAACGGTTTGTTAAAGTGTATGGGCAGCAAAAACACCTTTTTTTCCAGTTTGGATAGTTGGTATGGGTTAAAACTCCTGTCAGGCTTTGGAATTGTCTTCACTTGCTGTTCCAGAGATGCAACAGGAAGCAAAAGGAAAACTCTACAAGGGGAGAGGATTCCCTTTTATTAGACTGGGGTCACTAGAACAGGTGTCCACATTGGATGATGTTCAGATCTGCTTTGTTTCTTTTATAGTAGCAGTTTTCCTGTGTTCCTGTTAGAAAGTTGCCAAATGTAGTGTTTCCATGAATACATTTCCATGAATAAAGACCAATAACCATTGCCTCTTCACAGTGTATAGGATGGCCAGTATTTTACAACCCCCTTGCAGTCCTGGAAATGCAGTGCTGGTGATTTATAGCGGTGTTTGGCCCGGTACCATTTGATCCACGGACCGGTACCGGGCCGCGGCCCGGGGGTTGGGGACCACTGGCTTAGAGTATATGGGCCTGGTCTCTATATCTCTGCTCTTTAACATATCCCCTTAGCTTAATATGCATGACCTGGTATTGCAGATCTCGCAACTGTCTGAGAAGAGAAAATGGGAAACCTTTTAAGCACAAAGTATGTAGGCAAAAGGCGCACCCTTGTCTCTCCCTAAAATCAAGGGTTTGGAGTGTTCAACCTCAACCTATGGCTGTTGACTAGTTGGTACTTTCTCTGGAGATGTATCCTGTATAAAAGTCTAAATTGGAGTTCCCACTAGGCCCAACATCTATTGGATCGCAGAAAACATCATCACTACCTAATATGTATTAAATATCATCTATAGATGTTTATTAATGTAAAAACAATACAAAAACCAACCCTGCTACGTACCCAATATCACAATAAATACATGTGTGGTTGACGACACCTGAAGACGCACAGCCTAAGGGATTTATACATATAGGTAGTGATGGCTTTCTGGGATCCAATCGATGTTGTGCCTAGTGGGAACTATCCCTGGAAACAAAATACAGTTTTGTATAGTATGTTACTTATAGGGTATAGAGCCTCTATAGGATCCCTACCACTTTGATGTAAATGTTATATCTGTCCAAGCTTCCTTTCCTGAAGTCAAGGGTTAGGTATGCTTGGCTTTAAGCCTTCCCTGCAGCTAGCCAAATGGTTGTTTTGCTATTGGACGTAGTAGGTCTGGTTTCCCTTCGGGATCTTTTTTTGTTTTGTTGTTGTTGTTGTTTGGGACGTGCTACTTGTTGGTGGTTGGTTGGACCTTCACTTCACTGAGGCCTGTTGGTACTTTTAGGTTGCAGTTTTCCGCTTATTGGTGATTATCTGTCCTGGTCTGGAGCACCAGCCTTTGTTCAGGTATTGAACCTTGAAGATTTTATAGATTGCCTGAAGGATACACATCAATCAACACCTTGCATACATTTGCAAGTTATCAAAAGTGATGAGAGAGATATATTATTATGTATTGCTTTGCTACAGTGTCAACTGTCTATCTGTAGAGTTGTGGGCACTTCTAGATAATTGTTAATTCACTAAGGGCTTATTTATGCCTATAGCAGTGAGTGGTGTTTTTCAGCAATTAAACAACGCTAGTCACTGCTAGAGCACATAGAATGCTGCATTATTTTTGCGGCATGCAGTGTTGCACCTCAGGTTACCACAGCACACCCCACTGATGTGCAGAGACCTCAATGGGGTGTACACGCAAAAAATAGTAATTCCCTGAGACAACACATCACACCCCCATGTGCCCCTCACTGAACCTGAATCTGTCACACTTCACTGGCCCACATGCTATAGCTTAACGAGTGTGATCAAGCCCTTAGTGGTCATTTCATACGCGGTATTATGTTTTGTGTGAGTTGGGTTTAGCAGCTTTGTATAAAAAGTTCTGTAGTATCATAGATCCTGAGGGGCAGAACAGAATCCTTTAGGTAAAGCCACTTAATGTAGTCAGACTAGATTGTCTGCAAAGTGCAGCCGCAAGGGTTAAAATAAACTGATGCTAGCTGCATGCAGGAGAGTCTGAGACTAAGGAAGCAGCCCGGGTCTCAGACACGCTCCCCTGAATACTGTACTAATCAACATCAACGTTTGAGAGTGACGTTGATTGGAGCGGTGTTTGGCGCGTTGGTTAGAATTGGCATTTGGTTAAGTTGATTAGAATTGGTATTCGGCGGCATTGATTGGGGCGCGCAGTTGGCTGGCGGGGATTGGGGCGCGCTGTTGGCTGGTGGGATATTGTGGCGCGCTGTTGGCTGGCGTGATATTGGGGCGCGCTGTTGGCTGGCGTGATATTGGGGCGCGCTGTTGGCTGGCGTGGTATTGGGGCGCGCTGTTGGCTGGGGGGGTTTTTCGCTGTTGGCTGGCGTGATATTGGGGCGCGCTGTTGGCTGGCGTGATATTGGGGCGCGCTGTTGGCTGGCGTGATATTGGGGCGCGCTGTTGGCTGGCGGTGTGTCAGACCGCTGAAGAGCTTGTGTGTGTGAGAGCCAAAGTCTAACTCTATGTGCTGGCATCACAAAGTTTTTTTTGTTTTTTTTAACCGCTGTCTGTCGTTCCTCGAGTCTTCCTCAGAATCAATAAAGCTTTATGTGGGGACAGATATAAAACGTTATTAGGGAAGGTTGCATACTTATAGAGTGCAGTGCAACTCTGTCAGACGGAGCTGCACTTTCAAGCAAAACCTGTTAATTGTAGAGCCCCCCTAAATCTGTGAATCCCTAAATTGAATGTTGTTTTTCTTTGCCAGGTTGCAAAGGGATAACAGATGAGTCTCTGTTCTACCTTCGGCGAGCCTCCAGCTTGACACTAATCGACCTCCGTGGCTGCAAACAAGTGTCTCGAGGAGCATGTGAGGGGTTTATATCGGACCTGTCTGTGAGCACCTTGTACTGCCTGTCAGACGACAAGCTCATCCAAAGGATCACCTAGAACATAAGGGGCATCCACTGCAGGTGCGGTGTTGGAAGAGGTCATGTCGCTGGGGGACGCACATTGTCAATCACTCCTCCTCGTTGGCTCTCTTGCCTCGCTCGTCTGATACAAACAAGGAGCAATAACTGGCGCCTGTACATCCTGCCCCGTCTCAGTTCGGTGAGGGGCAGTCACCTGGTGCAAGAAAGTGGGCTAAATCTGAAACGGGTATTTAAACAGCTTTGGCGGGCCCTGGTGCCCATGGGCACCTTTCAGGGCTGAAACCTTGAAACCTCTTAAGACTGGATCTCCATAGTCAGAGATTTTTTTTTTTTTACCGTTCTGTTTGATTTTTCAGATTGGTCTCTCCTCCAGGCAGGTAAATGGAGAGTATAATGAGTGAGCGGACAGCTCAAGTCAATTCTTTTTTTTTTTTCTTTAGATTTTAAA